CTGGAATAATGGTCATTCATGAATCCCAAAAGGGACTTCGAGGATTTAGTAGCGAAGCCAAGTTGACTAAGGATAAATCATCCTTCTTTATTGGTTGCCTGGGGCTGAGGTGGGACTGGAAAGTGATTAAAATGGCACTGAGTTTTTATTTGGGGTGTTAGAAATGTTTTAAATTTGGATTGTAATCATGGTTATAAAATTTGCTAAGGATCACTGAATTATATAATCAAAATGGGTGAATTTTGTGGTATGTGAATTACCTCTCAATAGTTTTTTTTTTATTTCCTTTACATGACAATTTAAAGGAATAGACTTCAGTTTTAAGAACTGAAACTACAAATAACTCTTTGTCCTAATAAAAACACAGACAACAATAACGATAAAAATAAAAAGTAAATATACAGACTCTCATTGAAAAGGTAGACTAAGCATCTTTCTGGGAGGTTGGGGAGGGGGAAGCCACAACCCTGAATTTAACAGGAACACCTTCCTTTCACTGAGAAAATTATGATTTGCAATCACATTCTCCTGAACAGTCTCAGATCGTCCCAGACAGCATGTAAGAGTGAGGTTTCTGGTCAGAGGTTTAGAAATGGGATGGATTCGTGTTTTTGGAAGGCAGTAAAACTTGAAGATGGGTTAGGAGATACGTGATGCAAAAGCACAACCGCACCCAGCTTGCTAACAACTGCAAGATGCAGACATCATCCACTGCCCCCCACATCTGCAGGCTAACTAGTTAGTTGCTAGTTAAAACTTACAGAATATTAATGAATGAATTGAGTAGCTCCTTGTAAGGACTTGGAATGTAACCAAACACCCTATGGTCGGTTCAGAGGTTAGCTTACTTGAACCAAAACAATTTCCAAATTATGTAAACTAGTCCAGAGTACAGTAAAAGTCCTGTGCCCCCTTCCAAAAGTCCTAAATCAGCCCCTCTGTCTGGAAGTCATCTGTTTGTCAAACCTCTGGGCTGACATCTAACTCTTGCAATTTGAAAGTTGCCATAACAACCAAGGGGAAAGTTTTGCTCAACAGAATATAATCCAAAAGCAATTTTTAAAAAAACGCTTTGAGCAGCTTCTAGAAGCCAAAGGAAATGTGAATGATGCACATCCCAAAAGTAAAATGTCTCACAGGTATAAAATCTGGGAATCACAAGGCAAGAAACAGAAAACGAGATGGCACTGTCAAATTAACAAAGCTGGAAACATGGCCAGCCCGGCCACCTCTTTTTATCCTGAGCACCTTACACATAAGATGTCCAAGAAATGTTTGTTGACTTGGTCTGATTGGGAGCTATTCAAATCCTTATTTCATGTCCCAAAGAAGAATGAGCTTGTTTCATTTGAGCTGGGACCCAAATGCACTAAATGAATATGAATTTCCTAAATCCCAGTACTTGAAATGATTAAGCTTTTATTATTGTGCTTCGTCTACCACCTTTAAGTTAGTATTTGATTTGAGAACAGTCAAAAAAAACTGCTTTCGCAAAACTTAAATTCAATTAAGACAAAACAGAAAATAAGACAATTTAAAACAATTTTTTTTGAAGCATATTTCAGGGGAAATTCTTTCTCTGTGTACAATGGGAATTGTCTTATATTTCTATGCATCATTTATTCTGTCTTGTCTGATGAGGGCCCTTGATTTTTTTTTTTTTTCATATCCTTTGTGTTTCTGGGAACCTCTTCACATTTCAAAGGGAGGTTGGAACTATGTCTGGCCAATCAGAAGTCTTGGACTGCCCTTGCCACAATGATTGGTTTATGGTTATACACATGACCCAATCAGAAATAACAGAGTCAATGCTGGCCCATTGGCTGAAGAAACTGAAAGAGTTCATCTAATCTCATCATGTTTATTTCTTGGACTGTGAGGGACTGTGGCATGCTGCAAATAACACTGCACCAACAGATAAAAGGACTTGAGTTTTAAAAACTTGGCTTTGCTTCCTACGAGCTGTGTGACCTTGGACAAGTCACTTAATCTCCTGGGGTCTCATTCTCCTCATCTGCAAAATTCCTTCGAAGTTTCTGTAAGGATTTTATAAAAGATGCATATGTGGAGCCCCTTTATATGTTACAATGCCTTACTGAAACATCAGGCCTTCCCTTTTGTCTTCACAGCAGCCCAAAATGAAATTAGCATGTAGGGCTGTTTGGATCCAGTGCCCTAAAAAACAAAAACACTCCACAAGAAGAAGAGAACCTGAGGCCACAGAATGTCACAGCCAAAAAGGAGCTTGGGTGATATCTGGTCCAACCCCCACATTTCTCCAATGAGAAAACTCACTCTGTCTACCCTTGAAAGGGAGGAAATGAGGTAAGAACAACTATTGCAACTATTCAAGCAAGTTCCCCACATTAACTTAAAGCAATCAGATAACAAACTATGGCCTTTTAAGACAAAGACCATGCATGTGTTTTTGTAATGTGGTTATCTTTTCCTGTGGTAAACAGCCTCATCTGCGGATAAATGACAGTTACAGAAAAAAAAAAATGGATTGACCAGTCATTTCAACTCGTCCACACAGTTCAGCCATCTGAGTTCTAAAATGGAAGGAAAAGAACTTTGCAATTGAAAAAATTGCTGAGCCATGTGTCTGAAATGCTTTAAAAAATCACAATGGGGATTTTATTTTTATTTTTTTTTTCATTTTCCCTGTTGGTGAGAACCACTCCTGCCAAGAAATTATTTGCCAAATGGTGACCTCATTTATGATGCTGGTAATGTGATGTTTAACAGCTGACATGTGACCAGTACTTAAAAAAAACTGAGTCCCTTTGCTTACACAACAACAGAAATGTTGCAAAAATTCAGAGATGCACATGGAAAATTCAAGAATTTAATATGAATAAGGGTTACTAAAAGTCATATCTGGTCAATTTTTCCTCATTGATTTATTTATTATTTTATTATTATTACTTTTTTAGAGACAAAGTCTTGCTCTGTTGCTCAGGTTGGAGTGCAGTGATGTGATCATAGCTCACTGTATACCTTAAACTCCTAGGCTTAAGAGATCCTCCTGCCTCAGCCTCCTGAATAACTAGGACTACAGGACTACAGGTCTGTACCACTATGCCCAGCTAAATTATTTTTAAAGATTATAATCATAAAAACCCCTAGTACTCACTATGTACAGAAAGCAGTTTATGTATATTAAATAATTTAATCCTCCCCTTTCTGGAAAACTGAGACTAACTCTATGAGGTGGGTGCTGTTTTTATCATCTACAGTTTTGAAGTGAGGCCCAGAGAAGTTGAGTAACTTTCCCAAACTCTCACAGCAGGAAAATAGTAGAGCTGGGATTTGAACCTAGGAACTTGGCTCTATAGTGAGGCTGCTTAACCACTCTATTATACTGACCTTTTTGTGATAATCTTGCATGTGGAACACTTTATGTTTTCTTTAAAAAATAACTTATATATGAAATTAAAATGAATTAAAACATCTGTTCAAATTTATCTTTCTAGAACACTCTTTTAATAACAGCATCAAGAGAAAGCAGAGTAAGAGTGCAAGATTTGGAGCCAGGTCACTTAAGTTGGCACAACTGACCAGCAGCTGTTTTGATCTTGGGAGTAAGCTCCTGAAACTCCCTATGCCTCAGTTTCTTTGTCTGTAAAATAGGAATAAGAGTGGTACCTAAATCCTGGAGTGTTTGCTGGGGTGATAGTGAAATAGAAAGTGAAATAGTTTATGTAAAGTACATAGCCCAGCGTGGGCAACAGAGCATGAAAAGCCATGCTCCACCTTCCTATGAGTGACCTTGTTCATCCTCCTGGAGATGAGTTATGATCTCCATAGAATTCTAAATAAGAAAATATTCCAGGCAAATTGGAAAAGAAAAAAAGATGCCTTAGATTTACACAAAAAGGAGACAGAAAAACCACACAATAGTTCAAAAGCTCTCCAAATTAGTGCTCAAGCGTTATATAGGAAAGTTAACAGGTATGCACCTGGCCAACCCCAGATTTTAATTAAAACCTATATTTTAGGCCAGGCATGAAGGCTCATGCCTGTAATGCCAGCATTTTGGGAGGCCGAGGCAGGCTGATCACCTGAGGTCAGGAGTTCGAGACCTGCCTGGCCAACATGATGAAACCTCATCTCTACTAAAAATACAAAACCTAGCTATAGTGGTGCATGCCTGCAATTCCAGCTACTTGGGAGGCTGAGACATAAGAATTGCTTGAACCTGGAGGCGGAGGTTGTAGTGAGCCAAGATTG